CTTTCCCTTGTCTTTTGTGAGCCGCCCGGAGTCCTCTGGGAGTGGGCGGCATACAAGACAAATAAATAAAATAAATTAAAATAAATAAATAACATTCACCTATATTCTACTTCGCTCGCAGCTCGACAAATAATAGGGTGGTGGTGGATTGGAATGTTGGTTCCCGGGAGACATTGCTTCCCCCTCAAGGACACCCTGAGCAGATGGACCAGCCAGTTCCCATAACAAAATGAACTGACGTGATTGGTGGATGTAATAAATTATGGGTGGCTTAGGGGGAAAAGGGGAATGAACTAGGCATGGGAAGCTGCGAAACAGAGCTGGTTTTGTTTCTTCTGTGCCAATGAGGATTTAATTCCTTAGTTTGCACTCTTGGAAAACTAATATCCCAGGAGTTTCTTTTTCTGGATTCGCCAACTGGACAGTTGACACATAGCACTGACCACCATCTGTTCTGACCTAGGTTTGCCAAAAGCACGAAGCCAACTCCTCATCCCGATAAAAACCCCTTTTATTTGGTTTAAAGTGATTTCCTCTCCAGCAACGTCCCAGCCAACAGTTTTTCCAAGAGATTTCAGAAATACAGACCATTATCAGGCTTGGAGAGCTGCCAGGCCGATATCTTCCAAACACCATGCTCTAGTAGCAATTACTTGGTCAGAAGTCAGGAACAGATCTTTACCCTAATGAATTGAACTAATTGTCTCCTGCAAACTCCCCTCCCCTTTCACTCCTCTTTATTCCCTATGGGAGGGGCCATTCACTGTCCACCTGTGGCTTTACTCCCAAGCCGACCCCTACTCTTTAGCTGTTCCCTTCGTCTGGCAGCTCTGCGCATGCACACTGGGAACAGGCTCCAGCTGTTCTTCTGCCCCACTGATGTCTAACTCCGAAGGCAGCCGATAACTGTTGGACAGCCCGAGCCGCATCTCTGCGTCTGACGCAGAGCCCTCATCAGAGCCTTCCCCGGACTCCAGGACTGGCCCATCTTCCTCCCCAACCTCCTCACTATCCGAATTTGCTGGCAGATCCGCACCATCTGGATTTTCCGCCCGCTCTCCCATCCCCATGGCCTGGCTAAGGACCATGTGTTGAGTCACACCCAAGAAACAGACAGCAGATGGTCCACGCTTGAATTAATTTAAATTTTATTAAAAGTTCATTTATTGAATATTCGTTATTAAAAGTTCACTTACTGGATATTATTACTTTCTGTACATTTCCAAAATGTGTAAAAATTACTATTCGATGGGTGTTTGTACTACATGTCTGCCCAACCCATACAATTCTGATGATCTCTTTGGAAGGGGGGGATTCCCAATCCAGAGCCAGGCCACTGCTCTCTTGGGACTGATGGCAGAATGGGGAAAAGATGGGAAAACAGGGCCTATCCAAGATCAAGGGACAGGAAGATCCCCCCAGATACAAAGGGAGTAACCAATCGGATGCCCCTTCGTCATTTTGAGATGCAGCTCCAGCAAAAATCTTACCAGCAGCTTCTCAATATAAATCAAGAATGCCCTAACTAGACAATTACACCATTATTTCTACTTTTTTGTATCGAGTCTTTCATCATTTTCCTTGGTCATAGGTAGTCCTTTCCATAGGTAGTCCTTGACTTATGACTGGTCACTTAACAGGAGTCCAAAATTACGATGGACTGATCTTTAACTTTAACTTTAATTTAACTTTAATAAAATGTGTATGCCGCCCACTCCCAATGGGACTCTGATCTGGAGGTACTTATGACCTACACTATATTGCCAATATATTGAACCCTGGAAAGAGCGAAGGTGCTTTTTCCAGAGGCAAGTGGCCTTTCTTGTTTTCTTTTTTCATTGAAGACATTTCACGTCCCATCCAAGAAGCTTCTTCATTCAGCTCTGACTGGATGGTGGGGAAATGGAAGGATTTATATTCCTTTCCACACCGCTGGTCATTTGCATTCTTTTTAGAGAGTCGTTGAGGCCACTTGAAAGTTCATCTGTGTCCTCAGGGTCACAGAGGGAGGAGGATGCAACATCATCTACCTCCAGTTTATAACACAGTCCTTTCAGCAATTCCAAAAAGCAATTCATGACCCTGAACCTGAGGACGGAGATAAACCTCCAAGTGGCCTCAACGACTCTCTAAAAAGAATGCAAATGACCAGCTGTCTGCAAGGAGTATAAATCCTTCCATTCCTCCCCATGGAGTCAAGAGTGCAAGGTTTCCTAAAAATGCCCTAATTGATTCATGAGTATGGAGCCAAGTTTCAATACAAAACTAGTCATTTATTAGGAGCATCTTAGGCAAGATCTTTTCACAGCCAGGTCTAAGCTTTGTTTGAGTTATAGCTGAGCTTTAACCCTGTTCCTTTCCTCGCCTCAGTCTGTGTCATAAATCACATTCCCCAATGAGGTGCACCCCTGCCAAGCCTGCTGCAGTAATCTGAGATCTGACTTCAGCTGACAGCATGCATGGAATGCAGCCCCTCCCCCTTCTCTCACTATGATAACGTTGAGAGTTGACACAGAGCTGAAGAAGCTTCTGGGTGAGGAGCAAAATTAGGGGTGAAATTCAGAAGGTTCTGACAGAACTAATAATGGAAATTTTGAGTAGTTCGGAGAACCGGCAAATACCACCTCTAGCTGGCTCAGAGTGGTGTGGGAATGCAGATTTTGCAGTATCCTTCCCCTGCCACACCCACAGAACTGGTAGTAAAAAAAATTTGAATTTCACCAGTGAGCAAAACGTCTTCAAAGGAAAACCAGAAAGTCCAGTTGCCTCTGGGGGGAGTGGGGGTGGGCGAAGAAAGCACCTTTGGGATCGAAATGGAAGAAGTTTTTGGCCTCCTCAGAGTAGCCTCCTAACCCAAACCACTCAAGTCAACTGATGCTGCAGAAACTCACGTCTGGCATATCTATAAGCAGAAATGCTTTTGTGTCACTGCCACCCTAATGGCGATTCTACTGTGTTTCTCATCAATTGGAAGGAAGGAAAGGGAAAAAAAAAAGACACAAAAACTCTACCAGCCCGTCAGGCGAACCGCTCAATGGTGGTGCTTGATAAAGTTCGAGTTATCGCTGAACCTCTTCCCGCAGATCGAGCACTCGTACGGCTTCTCGCCCGTGTGAATCCGCTTGTGGACGATGAAGTTGGAGTAGTCATTGAACCGCTTCCCGCAATCCAGGCACTTGTAGGGCTTCTCGCCCGTGTGGATGCGCTTGTGGCGGGTGAGGCTGGAGCCCGTGTTGAAGCCCTTCCCGCAGAAAGAGCACTTGTACGGCTTCTCCCCCGTGTGGACCCGCTGGTGGATGAGGAAGGCGGCTCGGCTGACGAAGCTCTTCCTGCACTCCGAGCAGTTGTAATACTGGTCGCCGGAGTGGGTCCGCTCGTGGGCGATGAGGTTGGAACGGCGCCGGAAGACTTTGCGGCAAATCAGGCAGGTGTTGTCCGGCTCACTGGGGAAGAGGCTGGGCTGCAGGACGCTCTCGTCCAAGTCCTCGTAGGTCCCCTGGGAATTGATGAATTTGCCCTCCGCCTTCTCCTCGCTGTTCCAGTAGAGGGTTTCCGATGCTTCTCCCGGATTGGGAGAACAGGAGACGCCGGGCTCGCCTCTCCCGGACCACTCCCAACCCGACTCTCGATCTTCGCTGTCTTCCTCACAGAACTCCTCCTCATCTACATAAAACGGATATATAGATAGATCCATATACATTGAATCAATCAATCAATCAATCAGCTGGCATCCTCCTTCTCTACCTTGCATTTGTCATCCATACATCATCTGTCTTTGTCTCTGTCTGTCTATCTATCTTCCATCCATCTAACATCTATCCATTATCCTATCTATCTACATCCATCTATCATCTATCCATTATCCTATCTATCTATCTATCATCCATCCATATCCACCTATCATCTATCTATATCTATCAACTCTATCTATCTATCCATCCATCCATTATCCACCCATCTCTATCCATCCATCCATCATCTATTCATCATCTCATCCATCTATCCATCCATCCTCATCCATCTATCATCTTATATCTATCATCTATCCATTATCCTATCCATTATCCTATCTATCTATCTATCTATCTATCTATCTATCTATCTATCTATCTATCTATCTATCTATCTATCTATCTAT